AAGAAATTTCACAAACTGACTTGTCGCAATGGCGGCATTCATTTACAGCACCAAGCTTGAATTCAGTGAGCACTTTAAAATGACCCATTTTTTCCACAAATGTTTGTAAAGGTTGACTGCATGGCAAGGGGCTCGATTTTATATTCCTATGGCAATGGAACTAAAAACACCGGAACAGAGATGTGGCACAATACTTTTGTCTATATAGCATACATTGTCTGAGAACCATGCATCATGGCATTTTGTTTTGCAGATGAAAATATGTTATTGGACAGCTAAAGTCTCTGACCTGCTGGTGCACTAGAGGAAAAGTCAGCAGAATGCAACAAAAAGACTACGGAGAACATGAATTTTTTCTCAAAATTTCACCTCACTGCTTTTGCTAGACGGTGTCTGAACACCACCTGACATCGTCTACTATGTAAAGAGCATTGAGCATAGAGCATCTCTATGTGTGTCCAAAGCTTCAAAGTTTGTCTCATTGCTTTGTGGGGACCAGCTGGGAAAGAAGAAGCAGTGCTTCTGCATGTACATGCTTTTATTTTTAAATAAGACTTCAATCAACCTCCTGAAATTATAAGGTTCTGTTTAAAAAGAAAAAAAGGTGTTCAAATGGGAGAGAAGAAAAAACAAGATAATAAGTAGGCTAGAAAGAAAACAATATTATTGTACTCAAAAGTACCATTACTTTTGTATTAAAAAGAACTTATTAGAGTCAAAATGCTTTCGAGAGTTTTATAGTTTCCAAATGCTTTCTTAGTTTATTCCCCCACCCCCCAAAAAGACTCAAGGTTATTGCATATATTTAGTGAGGGACAGGAAGCCACTTACCGTGCTTTTATTAACATTTATTCTAAAATCCCCTTTTCTCTCTGGAGCACATGTAATAGTCTGACTGTTGCTGCCAAACAACACTAAGTTTGCTTGTCTTGAAGAGTCCATGAAAGAAACTCTTTGTGGAAGCACTTCTGCTGAGAGAGGGGGGAAAAAAATCTAACAGTAAACGATTCTTCCTTCAAGAGCGCAAACAGGAGTATTTCAGAGGACACTTAAAACTTATCATGTGGCCTTTCCTTGTTGTTGTGTTTGGAACAAATAGGTACTGAGGTATTTTCTTATTTGAGCAAAGCAACACAATGTTTTTGCCTGAGAAAATGAGATTAACTTTTAAAATATCTGGGGGTTTTTTCATTTAAAGAACAAGATTATTTATTTTTAGCAGCAAATAGCTGATTTTATTCATGTTAAGGAACAATTTCTTCATTTCAGAGCCTTAAAAACTTCCCTCTACATCTGTTCACCCATTGATGGATTATGGATTTATGTCAGGTAACAAGAAAGTCTCCAAGAGAAATAATTTCCTTGCACGGTCATAGTAAGTATGACAGGACCAATATGGCAAATGGGTAAAGTTGGGCTTAAATTCTTAAAGGGCTGTACTTTAATACAAATGATATTTTCTTAAACCCAAACAAGTTGTTTTATTATCTAAACCTAACCGAAGTGCTAGAAAACACGAACTAATGAGGAAAAAAAGATATTGTTGTTATTGAACTGCAAATTCCACATAGGGTGGAGGTCAGGGTTAGTGGATGGGTCAACAAAACACTTTTTTATTTCAAAATGCTCTTGTTTTTTTTAACTATGTTCCTTAATCTTAACATGTTTAATATAATAAGCTTGATGAACAAGGTCCTCTGCATTACCATAATCCTAACTAAGTTGTTTCGTGTCTCGGCCTTTGCAAACATAGGCAGAAAACAGATGAACCATATTGCGCTCTAATGGGTTGTGTTCAAAGGGGTTAAGCTGGAGGACCTGTCACTGTGCTCGCCAAAGTAATTGCTTACATCTCCTTATACTGCTGTAATCACTAAACAACTCTGACAGGGCAAGAGTCAAACAGTCAGGGAGACTGTAGAGCAAGCCAGCTCTTACTTTTATCCATTTTAGTTGTGGTAAAAGTCACAAAGTCACATCTGTGAGGTGAGAAAAAATTAAAGAAATATCGCTCTGTATAATGCAATTTAATTAAACAGAGACACAGTGTGAATGATTAAAAATGACCATACAGTTGAATTGACACTTCTTTAAAAGAGTTAAAAAAAATTATATGAACACTATATTCTTCAAGAAGATGGGAATTTATTGACTGTATCTGACTTTTTAAGCAAAGTCGAAAGAATAAAATGCCTCCTGAAAGGACAATCTGATGAATGCCTGTAAAGGTTATACAAGTTTTTCTTTTGTCTTTATTTTTGTCCTAATATAGCTTCAACCTAGGGGGTTTACTTAGAGGTTGTCTGTTGTCTGGCAGATTTTGTTTGGGCCTGACTTTTGTGCCACTTTATGATCGTTCGGCAGTTATTTGATTAATTATCAGAGCACTGCATGCACAGGTGCTTGTGAACTAGGCATTTACCCCAACGCTGAAATCTAACATAAAAGATAGGATAATTAATTTTTAAACTCTAAACCAATCACATTACTTCACTCCTACCACTAAAAAAAGTTGTGCCAGTCAGAGTGGCTCGCCACATTAAAAGATTCCTTTTAAGTGCTGTGTGCACGGTGGAGAACTTCGAGCCCTGAAAGCATGGCACAACAAATCTACAGTCAAAGTGTTTGTGGAAAAGGTGAAAGCTCAGTCATGTCATGTTATTTAAGTATGTTGACACTTATTCTTTGCAACACAGTAATCCAAAAATATACAGAACAGTCAGTATACTGTATGTAGTTTTGAATTTGTTGCAGGTATTAGTAACATGACATCAATCCAATATTTCTAGAAATAATTCTGCATCATATTTTAGCATGATTAAAATTGTATTTAATAATAAAGCATGAAACACTGCTTTTGCCAGAAAAGTTGAAAAAAGGGTTATGATGCACAGGATTAATGATCTCTGAGTCCCCCTTCACAAACTGGCAGGTTACTGAATATTAATCCAACAGTATGATGTGTTTGAAGCTTCAGCCTGGTCTCATTTCCAAGTTTGTTTAATTAAAGGTAAACACAGTAGATCATTGTGAATGATGACAGTTCTCAAACCAGAAGCTGTATGTTTATCATTGATGATAATTCCCTGCTGCCATCAGAGGGCAACAGGACAGGTCGTTTATTATATTATTTAAGTAACCCAAGGCGGTTTTTCACAAGTACTGACTGCTCTACCGTACTTCTGCAATGCATATTTAAATTTTACACAGTAGGAATGTTTTTTTATGTGTCTTGCATTTCTTATTTTGGACTTCCTATTTTGCTTGCCCCTGTTTAAAGAACCTGCTGAGAAACCCGGTTTCTACCAAAAATATCAGTGAATAGCTTCGCTTCATTTAGATGTAATGCCCACTTGTTTGCAAGTCTCCCACCTGCATGCCATGTACCAACTCTGAATTTAACAGAAACAGATGGAAAAGGCAGGTGTTATGTTAGTTCTGCTGCTAAAATAAAGTGCCAGTACCTGTGCAACCTAAATTAAATACAGCAACTGCCTGTGTCCTTGGATTTAAACTTATTCCTAACGACTTTAATTCAGTTTGCTCCTGAATTTCTGCCATTAGGATTTTTTTTCCAGTGCGCGAAGTATCAAATTTCTACATGGCAGATAAGTCTCAGGTAGGATGATGGGGTGGCTGGTTTGGTCTTTAATATAAAAGCCTTTGACACACAGAATCTATAAATCATTTAACTCTATTATGGGAAACTGTTGTTAATTACACATCTCCTACTAATTGTATATGTTGGTATCTTTTACCCATTGCTATGAATCTTTGCCAGTCTTGACTAAATCATGCTAGCCACCTATACTGTGGCCACAGTGGAACATGATGGAAACACAATATCAATATTGAAATGTTGATATGGTGAACAACAGGAAAATGAAATTCACTGGTTGACAGTTTGGTCTGCTGCTGTCGTGGTGACAGAAACTGTTGACAAAAATGTAAGTCATTAAGACATTATTTTTTGTAGAAAGTGATCAAATGTATTGGTGTGATTAAAGAAATTTTTAACACAAGACATTTCAAGAGTTTTTTTTTCCACAGGCAAGGCTGTAGGAGGCTGAGATTGTGTCTTTTGTAACATTTTGTAACATTCTTTCAAAGTTGGATTCATGAAACTTTTTTCAGATGGCATTGGTGAAGATGTAAAATTAAAAAAAAAAAAAAAGAATACGCAGAAGAGGTAACGGTGTAGCCCAGATGGGAGGGTCGAATAAGCTTTGAAGATTTTAACTTAAAATTTGCAGTAGTTTCATAAATGTCACTCCGTGTTAGACTATTTTTATTAAACGAGAAGGGATAAGTCCAGATTGGTAAAGGGAGACTGCAGACTTGTGACTTTTGTAAAAATCCAGGCTACCATCTTGACTAGGAATCCTTAAACACTTAAACACTTTCATTCAGTGATGGACAGTGAGACCACTCAGTATGCTGCACCCCACCCCCTTAACTTGCATCTTCTACAGACTTATTCTTCCCTTTCTCCTCCTTCCTCCCCCCCAAAATCCCCGGTTCCTGTGGAGTGGCAGGTTTTGTGTGGTCCCCAGCACTGTCCCGTTTTTATCTGTCCTCTGACGGGTTACCCCGGTCCCCCTCGCACCTGCGCCGCTCCCAGGTCCCTACAGGAATGCGCTGGGGCTTGTAATCGCCTTTGTGGGGGCCATTGAGTTGTACGGCTGACTGAAACTTCCCAACCTCACAGCGCGCTGGCCGCTGAATGGGACACAGCGTGGGGCGGCTCTCCAAACCGCGGACCCTGCCAAATTCCTACAGTGGCGCTCCACAATCACTCCCAGACAGGCCCCGATATACCGCCAGGCAGGAGGGACGGGGAGGGGTCGGGATGTGGTGGTGGTGATTGTGTGTGTTGGATAGACACATGGAAAAGTCTACATTTAGCTCCAGACAAGACGGACACTTTCTGCGTCGCCACTCCGGATGCACATGGCGCCCCCCCCCCTTTTTTTTGTTATTGTTATTGTAATTATTATTATTATTATTATCATCATCATCATTATTGTCACTTTGTGAAGCTGTTACAGTAAAGCAATGATTTGGGGTAACAATAAATGAAGAAGATGTATTTTAATATCTCACCTCTTAAAAAAAAAGTTCCAGTGCAGATGCTATTCCAGCAACGGTGAAATCTGGAAAAAAAAAAGCAAATAAAAAAAATGCGTTTGGTGGATGTTGTGAACAAAGTTTCAAAATAAAGCAATTTCTCATAACTTTTAGTACATTTGTGCCGCGTTTCGGTGCATTAGGTCTGTGTGCCGGCATATAGCGTGGTAGCTGTGGGTAGATAGAGCAGCACTGCAGGATTAAGAGGCAGCAAGATTGTTAAACATGTCAACGTGTAATTGCACGATAAGGCCCTTCCGAGGAATTCATTGGCCCAGTTGCTTTCTCTATTCCGCGCTAATCTCGCCCGGCACATTCGCTCTGTGCAATCTGTCTCCATAATCTTCTGTGACAGAGCGGGCGACGAGAGCAGGCTGCTTGGTAATTTTTTTTTAGGGAAGGGGGGAGACGCAGAGAAAATATGCAGAGGCGTGATAAAGTGACGCTAATTATCCCCATTTAGGACAGGGAGTGCAAGGGATCGGGGCTTTACGAACAACCGAGTGTGCGCTGGAGCTGATGGCCTCCTAGCACGGAATATATCGGTGGCTACAAGATAAGGGTATCGCACGGTGGAGAGATTTATTGGCCAGCCAGCTGTACGTGCGCGCACTCACACAAACACACATATACTCTTTCTCCCACACGCGCGCGCGAGCGCATGGCCAACCCGCAGCAGTAGCAGCAGCAAGCGCCACATAGCCTGTATACTTTGCACCCTACACTTACCCCCTCTTCCACCTCAAGGTGTAATTTATTCGGGTTAAATTTGCCAGAACGCTCCTCTTTTTAGCCTGGCGATGCGCCGTGACGCGCTCCGCCTCTCCGGGCTTTCAGTGTTAATCCGCATCTCTTCACATCAACAGATAAGATAGAAACAGATGCAAAAACACACGCGGAGGCCATCCCCTGCCATACGGTGCACGCTGTATTGCGGAGATGTCTCCATAGATGCAATTGCTTTCGGGTTTTGGAATTTCAACTAATTTCCAGACATTGTTCCTCTGATTTTTTGCCCCCTAAAAGATTAATGCGCAGCCAGACGTTACATGCTTTACTATGAGGCCTAACAGGTTTAATTGACATACCATGCAAGTCTTCATCAGTGTGAAATAGGCCCTTTAACTATGTATTTGAGATTAATTGATTTTTTTTTATGCCTAAGCAGGCATAAATTCCCCTCATTTGCATGTGTATGACTATTAGGGTATCATATGAGGCCTACAGGCGATAAAAACGGAAAATCTCAAAAACATCTGTGGCCTGTCTTCAGCCTAATATATACATATATTTCTTTTAGATTAATGATAATTATAAAAATGACGCGGGCATCTTATTCAAAATGCAGGTGTTTTTGTCAAAGGTACCAAAACCGGTCCAAAATCAAAACACTACATCTGTGAAATTCTGATGAGTCATCACCAACTCAACAAGCTACTTCTCTGTAGAGCTGTGACGAGTGGAAGTCAAAATTCAGTCCGAGCAACAGTTTGGACACTGTCAGGTTTGTGCGTCTGTTTTTCATCTAAACAGAGATTTTTCTCCTTTAATTACAATCACGGGTCGTTGGTTCACTCTCAAGTTTCAGTGGTTTTTATCGAACATGAAATTATTGTTCGAATCCCAGTTTGTGCCTCACGCACTTTGCCCACATCCCCTTTCACTTTCCTGCTATTTTGCTCGAGAGTAAAAGGAGCAAACAAGTCCCCCACTACCTTGCTGCTTCTCACATTATGGGAGTAAATAATTAGAATAAAAGCCAAGTAACATAGATTGCATTTATTTGTTAGACGAGTGATCAAGCCTCTTTAAGTGCCGGTTCTTTGATTAGCAAGCTGATGAAAATGCAGCTAAAGAAATTAGGATTCTTGTGAATCCCACCCTTTTTTTCTTTTTACCCTCTGTCGCATTCTAGCTTATAACGTACAAATCAATATATATAATCTAATAATTCACATATATTATCTGACATCACCATAAAAATAAAGCTAATAAGAGAAGTGAATGCAAGATGAACTGATGGTGCAGTTCGGGTGAAAGATTACTGACAACCCAGACTTCGATTTTTATCCCCTTATTTAAAGAAACAAATAATTTTATCTTTAAAATCTTTTTCTTTCTTTAAGACATTTTTAGATAGCTGTTCTTTGCTATCCCTGCCTTATTCTTTTTTTATAGTGTGTTCAGAACAGAAGCTGTAAAATTGGAATTTTAAAAAAATGCATCTCAGGAGATCAAACACATGTTAAAAGTGATTAAATAAAAAAAGAAATAGCTTAATATTTTCCTTTAAAAAATGAAATACACAGTGGAGAAGTTGTTCAGTTTTTAAGAGCAGTTTATACTAAAAAAAAATCTGCTTTCATCGGAAAAGAAATGAAATTCTGGCGCAAGTTTCCGTAAAGAAAAATGCAATTAGACACACTGATTAATATAATAGTAGAATAGATAATGAACTAGTTTCATTTAGAAATATATATATATATATTTAAAAAAGATTTAAGCTGCTCTTGCTAATAAAGGATTAAAGGATTCACATCTCATAAGGTTTTAAAGGGGAAAATGACATGTGCTTATTACAAATATAATCAAATTTCTATTCATAAACGAGAAGGCTTCGTTCATAACACTAACAGGTGGCTGTCATGCTAAATGTTCTTCTTGTGCGTTATGCCATCATAACTTTTCAAAATATTCAAAATCAAGCTTGTCCTTTTATATTTATATTAAAGGAGAACGCGGGCCACAATCTGGGCCTGCATTGAATATTTAAAAAAATGTTTTCATAGTATTGGAGCCTGCGTGCTACTGAAATAGAGAAAAGCAAACTTTTTAAAAACAATTTATGGACACGTTTCTAAACATGAAACTTCAGCTTCTAAAACAGCATCCTGTTAGTGAAATGGTTCCCTCACAGCCCTACAGGCTGTAGCTTTTACGCGTAATTACGCACAAACAATTGGACCATTTAAAAGCTCGAGGGATCTGTCCACCAGCGTCAAAATTTAAATAGAAGATTTTGTTTTTTGTTTTTCGTGAAGACTTCTGACGATATTCTTGTTACCTAAAACAAAACAAAACACTTCTGTAAGACCACTGTGAAAAATAATCAATCTAAGACGTTCTCTTAAGAATCAAAGCAACATCTTGTGAAATTTATTCAATTATTCTTCATTGCAATATCAGAGCTTTTCGCTCGCGGAAAAGCACTTAAATTACAACAGCGGTTGCCCGTCATCCTTTCAAATATTAAAATTATTCACAATTTACAAGAATTAGAGTGTTACAATAAAAAGAGATGATTTCCAAGAATTATGACACAGGCTTCTGCAAATGAACACAAATGTTTAAAGAAGCTGATTTTCCCATATCTTTTAAAGCACTTTCTTATGATTATGACACTTATCTCATTTTCAAATAACTTACAATAAACTCCCCCCTCCCCACCCCCGACCCCCAAAAATGATGAGACAATTGAAGCAAATCTCCCCAATGTGAAAACCTGGCGTAACCCTCAGCTAAGACTGTGAAATAAAGGACAAAAAAAATAAATAAATGATAGCACAATAACCAATATCTCAGCATCATATTTGTTATATAATTCCACTGGTGGCTATTCCAAAAAAAGCCGAGATGAATATGCTATTTACCCTTCATTTACAATATCATAAACATTCTGTACAAAATGCAGGTAGTTCTCAGGACCGGGGTTATTTTAGAAAAGAGGTAAATATTTGGTTATGGTTCGTTTGCAGTTTTCAATTATTCTATGAGTTCTAAATGTGTGTTAGCGGGACGGTCCCGTTCACTCCAGCCGTGGCGCTCTGGTAATGCTGCGGCAAGGCATGGAGTCTAGTTTGCATTGAGGGGTCCCCCGGCTCTCCGGTAGGTAAATACATGCTTATCATCTCTCTCAAGTCTCCGGGGCAAGGACCCCGTGAGTGTGTGCTGCTGACGGGAGGGCTTACACTCGGCTCCGACTTCACCAGCGACCCTAATGTCCCCATGGCAGCTGAGGAAGAGACGCCGGAGCTCTGGTGCTGCGTGTAGGTGATCCCGCCGTAGCCGGATGGGGAAGCGTTCATGTAGCTCTGAGAGTTCGAGATGGGGCTGTACTGCAGGGCTGTCATGTCATAGCGGTGCATGGGCTGGGGGTTGTGTGAATGATGGTGGTGTGAGTGGTGGTGGTGGTGCGCTCCGCTCCCCGGGTGCTGGCTGTAGGCTAGCTGAGCCTCCTGCATCATCGCTGCGGCCGCCGCGGCAGCAGCCACCTGCCCCGAGTACGCACCGTTCGCCCAGCCGTTCATGTGCGCGTAGCCGGAGCTGGCGGAACCTCCGTGACCTCCGGGGCTCTCCAACCTCTGCCCGACCCCGGATGAACCCATGCCAACCCCTAAACCAACTCCACCGCCACCGCTCGGCCCAGAAAGAAGTCCACCAGCAAGGGAATATTTGTCCTTTTTCAGCAATGTCTTGGTCTTCCGTCTTGGTCGGTACTTGTAATCCGGATGCTCCTTCATGTGCATGGCTCGCAACCGTTTAGCCTCGTCGATGAATGGACGCTTTTCAGC